TGCTGTGTGAAAAAAGCCTTACATTGAAGCTTTAAGCTATTATATAGAAGAATATGGAACAAACAACATAAAAGATGTCCAACAAAATACGAACCTGAATGAAAGAAAGGAATGAGACACTAATGTTTTTCCCACTTTATCATACCAAATGCATCACTTTGAGTGTCGTTTATTTACCCAAGTCATTCCTGCTGTTTGTTTTAACTTTCCTGATGGATGCAAATGAATGTTTAGGTTGGAAAGTAATAAATAAACAAGACATAAATTACATTCATAGTGTCCCAAGACTTCTTTTGTGTATTGTGTATTGACCAAAAACGTCGATTGCGGAAAGGCAGAATAATGATCATTTTGACAATAATAATACCTTATTCTTTATACATAATAATACATGGGCTGCGAATTCTGAACTCCACAGACAAAATGGTTACGGTTCACTGTGCTGAAGCAATCATTTTCATGTTTCAGAAGTGCTGTATGGGTTCATTTTTGTGTGGCAGATTCATAGATGTCTCAATTCCTCCATAAACAATAACTGGTCCCCCTCATTGTAATGACCAGTTTTGTTCTCCAGTGCAGTGTATTTATTTGAAATAGAGTCTTTGCGGTTGTATTAAACACACATTACATCCTCTAGAACTGTTGCAGCATTGACCCTGTCCGACACCGTCTGTACGAAAGGCTCCATTCTCGAGAGGGAAAGCTCCACGCTTGCCTTGGTGGTCTGTTTGGGATGCGGCATGTAGCTGTTGGCCCAGGGCATCTCACGGTGGCAACATGAGCCATCCCACAAAACCTCTCTTTCCAGCACTTCCCGAGGGAGACCCACACTCAGTCTTGTATATTTTTTAGGAGACTTTTTGTTTTTCGTCCGCCTCACGTTGGCATCTCTCCATCTTTGGCCCACTTCGGTAAACAATTTGGAGTATCCGGAGCTCGAGGAACAGGGTGTTTCTGATGCAGCTAGTTGCTCGAACCTGCCAGGGCCTGAAGTGCGCCTGTATTTATGGCTTGTGGAAATTCTCAGGACAAAGCAATTGGATGGGCATTAAGGAAACAATCATACTGGGAAACGGGAAGGTGATTCGCCCCCGCTGACTTGCGCATTTCAACTTTCAGTTTGTACAGGGCTGTAGATGCAAGCGAGTGCATGTAATTCCAGCCCCATTGTGTCAGCCTGGGAAATCATAGCTGGGATTCAAGGCCAAGCCAGCTGGTCGGACATGGTATCATAAATCATAAAAACTGGAATTCGTTTACACTTCTTGTTTACATTTTTGCCTGGCTGCATACCATCCCTCAAAACGGGATTAATCCAGCTTAATTGCTTCTACTTGAACATGATACTTCAAGCGTGTAACCTCAGCCATACGCGCTGTGATGTTTTGGCATGTCATGTCAAAAAGAGTTGAGTAGTTGTGGATTAATCTCGTTCACCAAAAACAGTGAGTTGCCCTGCGTCTATTAAGTTACGTGCCTAAAACAAAGTATAAATAAGAAGCTGTTGTTATTACTCTTTCTTTTGCGTATTTGGGCCCAGTCAGGTTTGCGTTGGCACTGGCGTTGCGACCGTGCCAAGCAGCACAAGTTTTCCCGAACGGATGACTGCGAGACTGAGGAAGTTGAAGCAGGGTGAAGGTTATCCTTCTTCGTCACCGGCCTCTTCCTGGAGGTGGAAAAAACTGGCACTTTCTCAGCTCAGACCAGCTTAAAGAAAAGTATAATCAAAGGCATTCGTGCGTTCCGGAATCTCTCCTGCTCTCCCGATTTCGCCAACGAAAATATTTTTCGCTGGCCTTCCTTAAGACCAAAGGGCCCTATCTCGCTGGCTCAAGGCTAGATACTGACTCTTAAGGGAAAACTCTCGTTACAGCAATCACAGATATTGCTCTTAAGGGCTTCAGAGAAGGTTGCTGGCAGAGAGCGCTCCATTTTGGTCCCTGGTCAAGAGTTAAAAGGGTGCCTTTGGTGGAATGCTACTTGCATTGGCCTCATGCTGAATCCTGGCCTTTCTTTTTTCCTGTCATTAGTGGACATTCCAGGCATGCATGTTTGGCTACCTTAAGCCAGCAGGCCGTAAAAGGCAAAGGGAGATATGGGAGGCTGCAGCTTTAAGGCAGATCCCCAGTGTGCAGGGCCGAATGGAAAGGGCCACCTGCTTATGGTATTGCGCTGTGGCGCAGTCATCTGCAGCAGAGGGGAATGTGTTTAGGTTAAATGGACAAAACAGACCGCCTTTAAAAGAGTCAGCCCCCTCCCTGCTTAACCTTAATTCCTTCTCCACATTTGCGCTCTCACAGACACTCCTGCACGTTTATAAGGACGCACAGCGTTTCTGTGGTTTCGGGGTTTGAATCTTATTTGTCTGGTCCCCCTCTACACCCATTGTTTCACTTGATTTACCTTGGCACTGTAAAAATCCTCATCCTGTCTCAAACACTTTGTCATTTCTGTCTCACATTCCATTTGTGGAGAAAGAAAAGATATTTAGCCAGCTCTCCAGCACACTCAGCTCCAAAATGTTGCGCACTGGTTTGTCCATTAACTGCCAAACAGAACCGAGAGCAGCTCGTGAAAGTGTGGGGCCTTTGTTTTCGCCTGTGAACCTCTGATCTGTGAAACGCACCATGCTGTCAGCCCCCAGGCCCCAGCACGGAGGAGAAGCCTTTGGGCCTGACCCACAGGCCTCTCCCGAACAGAAGGCCGGGAGCAGGACGCTCGTAAATCTGCCCAAAGAGTGGGCGTATGGCCTTCCAGGGAAAATGAGATTTCAATCTGTGAGAGCAGCTCACCGGGAAGGTTTTACTTGAGGTTTACGTCTGATGAGAAAGCCATTTGCAGAGAGAGAGAAGGAGAGAGAGAGAGAGAGAGAGAGAGAGAGAGGAAAGGAGAGGGACTGTGGCCGATTCCTGCCTGTGACTAATTTCTTTTTCACACTTGGAGCCGCCATCTGTCAAAATGTCAGCTACCCACTTCCTCCTGTGAGAAACGGTAGTGGGGTGTTGTCAGGCTTGATACCTGTAGCAGCACCTTCCTTATGTCACCACAAGTCCCGCAGTCTTTTCTCCTTGTTGGCAGTGGTTGTGTTTAGGTTCTGGAGGTTGATGTCAGTAATTTTGAGCGCCGTTGATGGCACGTTGCTTGAGATGACAGTATTTATGCCCTTTTGCAGTTTAGATTCAGGGCCAGATGTACATACAAGTGCACTCGCAGCCCAAATCGTGCCTCGGTGCGACTCGTGCCCTCGTCTAACCACTGTGTCTGCTGCTGTTGTTAAAGCAAGTCTCTCAGCAACACATCTTTTGAGATCCTAGCTTAAATTTAAATGTAGGTCTGGTTTAACCCCTTTCACAGTAGCCGTAAATAGTCATTTCTGCCTGTTTTGGACGTTGCTTAGCTGAACTATGCACTGTTTTCTTTAATGTTAATGAAATACATTTTGATAAACATATGTATTATTTATGAAACCGAATTAACTGGATTTTCACCATTATATACTTACAATATTATTTATTGGTGTTACACAATTTTTTATATCAACAAAGCTGCAGTAATGCTATCCATTTTATTTCTGCTCACCTTTCTTCGTAGAGTGGAGTGTGTTGTTTTCACAGCATGAGGTTTTCACTCCTCTCGTTCGTCCCTCGTTGCTCACTAGCAGCTCAACACAGAGAGAAATGTTTTATTTGCTCATATTATTTAAAAATATGCAAGCCGATTTCCATTCCTCTGGCGAAATGACCACTAATAGGCCTGCAGAAAGAGATTAAAGGTGGAGAGAAAAATACTATGCTAAACAAGCCACAGCAATTTGCTAAAACTGTATTAATTCAAGCATAATATCTACTGAACGTGTAGTACCTTCACCTATTTTTCGCTTGATCCTCCCACGTTTTATGCAGCCGTCCTTCAAATGCATATGCATGAACTGTTTAGGCAACAACGGTGCATTTAGGCTTTATACAGCTGATGTGCACATGATGGATGGGGAAGAATGGGTCTGATTGAAATTGCGCTTGAAATTGGCACAGAAGGTTTAGTACATTGGGCCCTCAGTGTTGACAACTATCATTAAAATAAAATCAGCATTGTTTTGCTTTTTCTCACATTTGATGGTTTCCTAAGTTTTCAAGTCAATATCATCCTGTGTTTTCCAGTTCTTTATATTCTCTGTTTAATTTGTTGAAATAGATTTGGGAACTATTACGTGTGTGATATGGGTCTGGCGAAAAGATCAAACATTCTTCCTAGCCCATTAATCCCAGTGATGTCTGCAATTATGCACCGAAGGCGCATAACAAAATCTTCCAAATGAAGGCTTGCATGCAAATCACGGCCTCAGTCAAAATCTTGCCCTGCGAGGCTTTCCAGACCCTTTTCGTGGCAGTGAGATGGATCCAATCTGACTTGCGTAAGCAGCCTTTAAAAGCGAGCGCGGACAGTATTCACAGGTTTTGACCTTTGGAACTTTGGAGGAGCCACCAGCCGGGGAGTGCCGAAACAATGCCGCCAGGGCCGACGCGGTAGCGCAGCAAGCCAGGCAGACATGGCTGGCTGACAAGGGACTGTGGTTACAATTTCCCTGCAGACATAAACAGTGACACTATCAATTTCCTGCCTCCAGTCTCTTAACAGGGAGTGAGCAAGGCTGTGCGTGGGCTGGGGGAAGCCTCTCTCCGCTGAGCTGGGCCAAGGCTGCTTAAAGCTAAGCTTAGCCTGAAACCTTGAAGTGCTGCTGCCTCAGTTCGCTGTGTGCATAAGGCTAAATTTCATGTGTTCAAATAGGAAAACAAGCAGGGACTTTGAAACTGTAGACCTGGATCTTTATGTTAAACCGCATCATTGACATTCTCACTTTAGTCATCTGTCAAAAATGACATAAAAGGGCTTTTATAGGCCGCATTGTTTTCAGAACAGAAACAAATCAGCTGGTGCCATTTATCAGAAACGGTCAATGTAGAGAATAATAAACGTTTGAAATAACTTCAATATTTCCACAGGTCCTCCACGTGTTTCGGCGAAGGTAGCCCACCGGCAGGCGGTGCGGATTGGACGCACCATGAAGCTCCAGTGTCCTGTCGAAGGTGACCCACCACCCCTCATCATGTGGACCAAAGATGGACGCAACATCCACAGCGGCTGGATGCGCTTCAGGGTCCTCCAGAACGCTCTACGCATCAAAGAGGTGGAGGCTGATGATGCCGGTACTTTTATCTGCAAAGCCACTAATGGCTTTGGCAGCGTCAACATCAACTACACCCTCATTGTAATCGGTGAGTCTTCTTATAGCATATATGCGTGAGTAGTTAGTGACGTTCTTTAGATGCATCTGCATAAACAGTGCATTGAAGTTGCACAACCCTTATCTGCTGTGTTAAATAATGAATTATACAATTATTAAACACCACTGAACATGACGATACAATACAGCATAGGTTCTTGAGCAGTGGGATCAGCGTAGTACGTGCTCTCCTGCTTTTATTCATGCCAAAATCTGACTTCTAGTATAAATGCATGAGTGTGAAGTGCTATTTTTTTGGGTGATTTTATTGTCCTTACCTAAAACAAAGCTTTCACTTATGGAAGTTTGTTGTCACTCATTAGAGAGTAGAGAAGAAAAACCTGGCAGTTTCTGGCAATAAAATGTAAACAACAAATATTGAGCTGAAAGTATGACTTTTTAAATCACAGTAATGACTTTCTCAAAATTGTTATGTTGAAATAATTATGTCAAAATAATTATTTTCTCAAAATTTCTGCAAATAATGACAAAATAAGAGCTTATTTTTTTATGATTTTGGGTTAGTGCCTCAAAATAAAGGCTTAGTTGCTCAAATATTTGACTTATTATCTTAAGATTTCAAATTATTCAGACAAAATTTAGAGATGCTGGGTCAAAATAATACATTTAAGAAAATAAGTAAATAAATTTGGTAGTTTCTGGCAACAAAATGTCAACATTTCTATGTATTATGTTTAGAGTATGACTTTAAATCAGTAATGACTGTCAAAATATGTCAAAATATTTATTTTCTCAACATCTCTGCATAATAGCTTATTTTGTAAAGGTTTTGGGTTAGTGCCTCCAAATAAAGCCTTATTTTCTCAAATATTTGACTTATTATGTCAAGATTTTGAATTATTCAGACGAAATTTAGACATGCTGTGTTGAAATAATACGTTTAAGAAAAGAAGTAAATAAATTTCAAGAATGCAAGTCCAAATTTTGGGAAAATAACTTACTATTATTTAAGAAGTCAAGTTAAAAGGGTGTTTTTCTTCTTCTCTGTCTGGTAGAAGTGGTCTTCCCTTGTCTGCAACTAATTTTGAACTAAAATTTAAGTAAACTGTCACCCCCCAAGCCCCCCCTCCCCCCCTTTCACTCACAGTCAGGCACCAGTGCACTAGAGTAGCCCACTGTATTTCATAATCTAAACAACATTTTGATCTCAAGCATAAGCGCATATTTATAGATGCGGGCAAATAAATTTATTTCAAAAACCAAACGTCCTGAAGACGCTTCAGGAAGACGATTCCTCATGAAGCAGCTTGAGAGAGTGCCACGAGTGTTCAAACCTGCACCAAGGCTTTATTTTAAAGTTGTAAAGTGGTTTTCACTGTTAGTATAACATGTGGTGACCAGTAAAAATAAGGAAAGCCTTTTTATAAGTGAGTCCAAATGTTTCTTTACTTTGCTTTTACACCCCGAACGTCTCAGCTGATTGTGCTTGTATGTAAGACTTGCTTTTAGGAAAAAAATTAAATATGCTTATTCAGCAGATCTGAAGGCCTGTAGTTTCTCACATAAAGCGTCTTTTCATCCTTCAAAATGGGATCGATTAACATTAGAAACCCTCATCCGCTTCTCTCTAATCATTATGGGTGGTTTGAGGGGCTTTGCTCAGGTGTGACATCCACTGGACGTGGCTTTCTCCGCTGTGGGCAGAAGCGAAGAGTGCCGCATGAGCACGTTGGCTGACTGCCCAATTAATCAGGGCCTAATTTGGCTAGGTTCCCTGCAGAGATCTGACCGCTCGCGCCGGGGGAGGGGTGCTGGGCAAGTCTTGTGATCCCATGAGCCCCCTCTCACAAATCTTGAGGACGTGAACCCTGATCCCTGATCAGAGGGCTTTGAATTAGACTGCAGGTTTTAAAGCCTTGAGCCTTTGTGTTGTAGCCGAGGCCGTTTTTCAGACCTCTTTAATAGCCGGCAAATTAAAAACAAATAAACAAAGGATAGAGTCAAAGTGTAATAATTCGGAACTGTGTTGTGATTACTGATATCTCCTGGCCTGACCCGTCTCTAATTTGAGGGCTGAAAATGAAAAAAAGGGATAAATTGGGACAAAGAAATGTCCGCCGAAAACTGTGCCAAGTCTAAATGGATACCCGCACTGTGCCTCTTTCAGGGTCAGTTTTATATTAGCCGGACTGAGTTAATTATCCTTTTATTTTCTTCTCAAATGAGCCCCGTGTAATACAAGACAAAGAGACTGAATTAAGAGGATTGAGCACATCCTCAGTAGTGAATAGACTGTTTGTGTTGTGCCGTACAGTAGGTCATTAGCAGTCTTGGCCTCCGTATGTGTGCGTTCCTTTGCACAGAGCAGAGTGCTGACCATTTAAAAGTACCCTCTGTGGAAATATGTATTGTACAGTCCCCCCAGAGAAGCTTTTAGCCTCAGTTTAGAAACTTTTTTCCGCCACATTCTGCATTATGTCCATTCCACTGCACTTTTTACATGTGGCAGAACAAGAGGCATTTTCGGGTAATGAGTCAATTCAATTGCAGTTCTGTTCCCAACGACCATCTATTAAGGCACAAAGCTTTTTTTTTTATTTTGACAGGAACCGATTCAAAGGAAGGAAGCCAAAAGAAGATAACAATCACGAACACTCTGGAATCAAAGCGTGCAATGTATGAGACCATTTAAATTAGCTGAGAAAATTCTGTAGGCTATAGCTGAAACCAGCAGTTTTAAAGAATCTAGCGTGGCTCAGTCACTTCCACCAAACTGTGGAATCCACAACCAAATAGAGGTGGAATCTGCAGCAGAATAGAGGTGCAAATTGGTAGCTGTTAACATCTTTACAGAGCGAGGTATCCTATCATCTTGCAACCCCTGTATCAAAAAAAAAGAACCAAAAAAAAAAATTCATATATATATATATATATATATATATATATATCGATCAGGCATAACATTATGACCACCTCCTGTAGTCCATCTGTTTCTCTGCATACTTTGTCAGCCCCCTTTTACCCTGTTCTTCAGTGGTCAGGACCCCCAAGGATCCTCACAGAGCAGGTACTATTTGCGTGGTAGATCATTCTCAGCACTGCAGTAACACTGACGTGGTGGTGGTGTGTTAGTGTGTGTTGTGCTGGTCTGAGTGGATCAGACACAGCAGTGCTGCTGGAGTTTTTAAACACTGTGTCCACTCACTGTCCACTCTATTAGACACTTCTACCTGGTCAGTCCACCTTGTAGATGTAAATTCAGAGACGATAGCTCATCTGCTGCCGCACAGTTTGTGTTGGTCATCCTCTAGTCCTTCATCAGTGGTTATATGACGCTGCCCACAGGACGCTGTTGGCTGGATATTTTTGGTTGGTGGACTATTCTCAGTCCAGCAGCGACACTGAGGTGTTTAAAAACTCCAGCAGCACTGCTGTGTCTGATATATATCATGCATATCGTGAAACCCTCAATGTATATTCAGCTTAAAAAATCAAGATTAATGGTCATTTTTAAAAAGAAGCAACAGAAATTGTGTCCATGATCTGTAGTCACCATATGCCCATGTGCTGTGTGCACACAAACCATATTTCAGCGCAACACTTGTTGTCTAAATGACTGCTTGCTGCGTTGTTAATTTTTATAGTAGGTCATACTATGTCCTAAACTACTTTCACAAGTCTTTCTGACCTTAATGAAAACCAGAATGTGGTTTGAGGGGACGTTTGTATCTACAGAAAAAAGTTTGACTTCTGACTTCTAGTGTTTGTTAGCTGTTTTAGCGCAGTAGCTCCAGTTTGAAATTAAAGAAGCAAATTTTGGACAGTAAACATGTCTTGCCTAATCGACTATCTGGAGGAGTGGAAATTGTATAGGTTTAATTTTTTTCAAAGCATAACCTTAAGAAATTCTTTATCAGCCTCTTTGACCACCATGTCCAAAGCATTATAAGAACATTTTTAGACGCTTACATTGTCAACTCTCAGACAAGCGCGAGGTGAAGAAAAACAGGAGATGAAGAAAAACAGGAACAGCACTCATTCTTAGAATTGTTCTTGGGGGAAATGGTAAGAAAGTAATTAAGAAAATCCTGAAGGGGTTTTCAAAGGAATAGCAAGTCTTGGGGTAAAAAAAAAGACTTTTTTTTATTATTATTCTGGCCTCAAGTTACTGAAGCTTGTAACATTGAATCAGGTGCATTTGTGCAGGGAATTCACTAAACTTTACTAGACTAAAGCCCTCCAAGACACTCCTGCCTTAAACTTGGATAAGGCTGCAAGAATGTAGAGAGGCATGCATCATTTGAGGCTTTTAATCGGCCCCCTGAACGCCCCTAATGGATCTGAGATTTTGGGGGGCAGCTGCCATGATGACCTCAGTCCAAGCAGCTGCACCCGCTGGGTTGGGGCGCCCAAGTTGTGCCAGCGAGGCTTTGATGAGCCGCCACTGTCTTTGCCATGCCGGTTAGTCAGGGTCCTTGAACTCTGTCTTGTTCCCTAATCTCTTTGTTGGCTCGTTTTCTTTGTGCGTAACTCAAGCCTGTCCAGATGAGCCGCAGTGGACTGTGGGTATGTGTTTGTGGGAAGCTGTTGTTGTAGAATCAGGATTGTTTTGTAAATCGCTGCTGTCGGAGCAAAACCTCGCATCTCCAAAATGGTAACTTTACAGGAGAAGGAAAAAACATACTTCACTTTTAATGTAAGTCAGTGGAACCAGACGTCTTTCCAAGTCATTTTGGGCCGTTTCTTTTGGTCCATTCTTCATGAAATTTACACACAATGCAAAGAGATACAAGCATTTTCAAATTATGTCAAAAACTGAAAAATGACAAAAAATGGAGATGCAAGGTTTTCTTCCGACAGCAGTGATATATAAAGGAAAAACTGCCAATTGATAATGTTGCTGCCATAATGGTGCATCCAGAACATATGTGTGTGTGTGTGTGTGTGTGTGTGTGTGTGTGTGTGTGTGTGTGTGTGTGTGGCTGAGGGGGATCAGTTTTTGAAAATAATGAAAGTTATTTCATAACTACA